TCTCTTTCCAGTCTTTATTTATCTTTTAAGCCTTTTTATTATTTTCATATTTATTTACTTGTTTGACATTCTTATTGCTTCTGTTGGTGCCTATATCCTTCATAGTCATGCCACCGGTTCACAAACAGTGGCAACCATCGATAAGATTGCCACATTTTGCATGTTTCTACTGCGTGTTTTTTACTCTACGGATACCACCAGCTTGCTCTAGAATGGCTACTATCTGTTTTCAAAGCCTTGATTACAACGTGCAGTATTAGCTGAAGCGTTTGATAGAATCGGGGGCGTTTTGAACTGCTGAAAAGGTCACTAATGCATTAGGCATAACTTGTGACTTCAAAGCACATGGGATAGGTTCAAAGTTTGGAGAAAGTCGACAAGGGCTGCAAAAACTCGCTCTACGAAGAGCCCCGTATCCCTTCTACCTTCTCTCTCCCTAAAAAACGACCGGTTTTTCGTTCGGATTGTGACGTGCAATGTGGAATAGGTTCCTTTCAATCATGATCTTTGTTGAGTAGTTTAGTTACGAAAAGGGTCAACTAAACCATAAGGTAAAACTGAATGAAAAAATTTTTTAGGCAGGTGCAGCTCTCGGAGCCCAGGAATGATTATGGTCAATACAATACTTTTAACATGATATCAAAATACTGCGACACATTCAGATGCGCTCGGCGAGAGCCGACGCTTCTCCGCGATAGGCCTCGGTTGCCGATCGCAGAACCAATCGTACAACATCTGAACTAATAGTGTAGTGGGCGCGCAGACATACTTCTTCAGGGAATCAAAGCTTTGTGGCATTTATTTGCGCTTGCATCCAGGGTGTGAAATACAGAAATCTAGAGCTATCAGGTGGAAGGTTCCATTGTAACAATTCTTCGAAAGCAACGAACTCGAAAAATCGCTTTTTGGAGAATTTTTGCTTTATTCTTGGGTGCTCGGTCCTGTAAGAAGTTCCAAGTAGACTACTCGTGTGGCTTTCTATCCACTACAGATGTGGAGTCTTTAGAGTGTCTGGCTGGGTTTTCACATCAATTTTTTCATTTTGGGTGTACGAAAGTCGACAAGGGGAGACCTAGTTTCTGCATCTGATAATTATCCTGGTGGTAACTGTAACTTTCGAGTCCCCGAATTTTCCATCTGTGGTGTTCCAAACTTATTGAAGAGTTGAACTGTTGCTCATAAGGGCTTCCCTGATAGGTTAGACTGCTGCTAGATGTAACGTGCCAGAGCCCCTAGTGAGTTCAATTTGAGGACTGACTCAAAGTGAAGTAGTTATTTCACTAGTTTTGAGAACTTCATGAAATTTGGTTTCATTAGGAAGAAGACAATGTACCCTCTCACATAGTGCACAGAAAACGAGATGAAAATGGAGCGATACGGAAAAAAGTGGATATGACTGCGCGCGCACGCGGTCCTCATAATTTTGGACCACCCTGTAAATCTACTATTTCATGCCATTTTTTCGAACAGTCTGGATGGCCTTTTTGAAAAAAAAATGCTGCGAATGCGATTCGAATCGAACGAAAAAGGTGTGTTTGAGTATAGATATGCACATTTGAATTCTATGATGAAAGAACTGAAGCTTGAATTTCCCCCTATTAACCTAAGTAATAAATGGTAATGTTCAAGATCTGCATTAAACTACAGTCATTGGAATATTCGAAGCTAACAAGCGCTATTGCCCACCTACACAATAAAAAAATTCGTACTCTTTCTCTCATTGTTCCTTTACTGTATTTTATCAGTTCACGTGGGTGCAACTCAAACCCTACACATTCTTGACCAGGCCAGGAAGACGCCCTGTCACTGTTGGTTTTCATTAGTTCCACTCAACAAGACATCACGACATCAGACAAATTGTCTTGCTGCTTCCGCTTGAGCCCTGGAGAGTCCTTTGAAGTATGATACAATGATTCTCTTATTGAAGAGGATCGGTCGCTTAATTACACTAACTGTTCCATTCTTTCAAGCCTTCACATATTCTTTCACTTCGTTCTTTTCATGTCTCCTTTCACCAGCAATGGTACCTATTTCCTTTATTTGCACCCTTCAAAATAAATTTAATCATAGTTAGAAGAATGTAACTACTATTGATTTTCTTTCTAACATTCAAAAGCACCGATGTGCTTTGTTGATGGGCCGGCAGAGTATCCATCTATTCGCATACAGGGTGTTAGACGTCGCTTGAAGCTATCCTGACGTGAGAAGAAATCCTGTGCTATTCGACCAAATTACTTATTTTCGCGTCATGCAGCCAATTCATACCAATTGCATCCAGCGCATCAGCCAATCGCAGAATCGTCTAACAAATTCAAAAGCTTCATAATTTTGAAGAAAACCATATGTATAGCGCATTCTGACGAGCTTTCTAACATCACGCACCTCAATAATTGCACGGGCTGTTGCATAATGAAAGTAATTTGTTTTGAATGGAAATCTCTCCATTAATGTTTCCATGTTTCATATCGAAGTATTATTCAGAAAACATTCAGTGTTCAACAAAGCTATATTATCCACTGTCAAATTGTTTGTGAATAAGCCGAATTCCACCTCTGTGCAAAATGAGTCCTCGAATCGAAGACATTAAGCCAAGTTGGCACCTAACTCAAACCCTTCCATTCACCAGAAATGAGCAAATCGTTGAGGTACCCTGTACTTAGGTACAACCTCCTTTGAGAATTTCTCTGGTCGGTTGTCTAGAAACCGCTTTTTGTTTTTATTTTCGTCGCTTCGCGTACCGCTGAGCCACAGCGTTTTTAACCCTTTGACGACAATGCGGATTTGCACGTAGCGTGCTCGTGGGACCACGCCTCTTTTTGGCGCGCCCAACTCTCGCACAAAATGGGGCAAAATTGTCCCTAAAAGCAGTTTTTCTATCAAAATTTTGACTATGACAATAAACAAAATATGACTGCAGTCTTAAGCTTTATGATCATGTATTGTTGGAATTAGAAGTGGAAGTTTGGAAAGAAATCTCGGATTTCAAAGGGATGGTGTTTGAAAACTCTAGAAGTTCGTACAGTAGAATTTTTGATATAGGTTAAACAGGAATTTTTAGCCTTAAACACTTTCTCGACGTTAACTCTGATATATTTCGAAGTTTGTCTCTAATCTATTTACCTATGCGTTTCGCTCCTACTTTCGTTCTGATTCTGTAGAATATAAGCGTCACACAATAGGGTGTTCAGTCAACGAAATGGCGATATTACTTCAGGAAATATTGTTCATAAAAAGGGTCAGCTAAATCAGTCAGTAAATGTAGGGTACTTCTCCTAAACGTTCCACCTCTTTACAGTGCCTTAGGAGTGGAAACGTGAGGTCCGCATCCGACAAGGAAGCGTTTTCTTATCAATTTCTGGCGCAAGATTCATATGTGGAAAAAACATTATCTTTTGGAGCACTCCCCATTAGACACCTTCAGGATCTCTTCAGAGCAGTTTCTGAATGATATAAAAGCGCGTTCACGGCAAGAAGACTTTGATTCGTTTTGCTTGCATGTTCCTCTAAATGTCGAAAAGGAGTGAGGAACGTTTTTTCGCGAACATCGGTTTTCGAGAAACAGCTGAGGTTAAAGCTGTTTTTGTGGTATTTACTGTAGGTGGTGTTCAGACTTCATGAGGCGTGTGACGTAACCGCATTCGAGGACAACTGGCAGTGTAGGGAATAAATTAGCTCGTACTCAGCCAAGCACGCCGAGCGACGACCTGAAGGCGAGTTGCTGCTCAAGCTCATCCCCCTCCTGAATAACGAAAGTTCCTTGGAGGGACGGCAGAAGACACCAGTGACAAAGTCAAAGGATGATCAACACGTCGTGGCTGTTGAAACCAACCAACTTCTCCATCACATAAATGCATGGTTAAGTTCATTTCCTTTTACTTAGAACTTGTTGCTGATAGATGGACTGGTTTCAAGAGCATGACGTGTTGATCACATTTTGAAAGGGAAGGAGCTGTGATTCTGGAGTGGATTATCGGTCAGTCATTAACGATTTTCTGCATGTCTTCAGTGCGTCCGTCGGTATGCATGACGAACGAAGACTTACCTGGGGATCGTTTGCTACCTAAGCCAAACGCGCGAATTCAGATTCTGTAAGAACCTCTTTACCTCCCTAAGGCATCTAAAACGAGCCGGAAACTGCGAACTCATTTATAGCTCTCACGTCGGGGACTGCCTTGCTCTATCTGCTCATGGTTTTATGACGGTAGTGAGAGCGAACGGGCGTTCACTCTTACACTAGTCACCTTTTTTTGCTCTTAACATCGGTAAGATTTGTAGTGATGAGAAAGCGTTAAAAAAATCTTCATAGTGAAGAAAAGCTGCAACTGTCACGCCGGTTCCTTCTCAAAGATCAATCGATTCTCAACACCAGCCGTCCCAAGCATTTGTAACCACTTTCGTATTCCATACTAAAAATAATGTGAAACGTGCACAGTGATGAGAAACGAGAGGGATGTGGAACTGATCATGGCTTTTTGCGCAATCATGACACACTTCTCTTTCTCGTCTATCCATCGCTTTCAGCTTCCGTACACAATGACGAATTGTGGCTCATTCTATGCTCCGCTGTCTGATTCTATCACTACCACCCTAGGATCGTTGTCATCAATGGTTGCTCAGTTTGTCGTGCTGTCTCGCGGGAATATCAATTTATTTATTTACTCATTTATTTATTCAGAAACCTAGCGGGAGCCACATAATTCACACCTATAATCTGAACAGTTTTTCAATCCAAAGCACCTTTCTGAACGAAACAGCAATTCGCTATCAACAAAAAACGATCATGAAAAAGCGAAAAAAAGAGGATTTGCGCTGAATAAATCAAAACTGAGACCTTCATGGAGTGATTGGTCGATTTTTCCTCAAGATATAGGAATATAATTCCACTTAACATGCTTTTAGTAGGCTTTATTCTGAGGCTTGTTGAACGAGATTGGCTTTCTTATCGTACGAGTTTTGTGAACGTCGGTCATCTTAAAGAGGATTTCGAATTAGTTTTCAGAATGTCGCTCAAGCGGCTGATCGACGTGAATACGGTCGCACAGCTGCTAAAGAACAACATAATCAACAAGGAAGGAGTTAAGATTCTGGACTGCACCTACGATCATTCTCTTGTCAAAAAGAAACCCGACTGGAAGCATTTCCAAAAAGAACTCTACGGAAAATTCGAGAAAATCCTAGCTCAGCCTTGTCCGTAAGTGAAGGGGATTGAGAAATCAATCAAATTTTGTTTCAATTTGCTAATTATCTATCACTGTGGTGCAGTCCTTGATAATGCTAAGCTATGAGCTAAACGCATACCCAGTCAAGGCAAAGGATCTTGTGCTTTCCGGGTAGGTGTACTAACCAGTATCCATCATGTGAAGAGGTGGCTACCCACGAGCATGTTGAATACAACACTACGGCTGAGCCAAGTGGGCCATTCGCCCTAGCCGGGGTTCGCACCCCGACATCTTGCAAAAGAAGTCACGCCAAAAAAGTAAACGTGCCTAGACAGCGAGATATAGACCGTAGTGGAGCGCCAGCAGGGTTGAGTTGTGAGCAGGGTCAATCCTACGTTGTTACTAGTAACAACGGGGGGGGGGTCGTACCTGGTTGAGTTTATAGGAGGGGGGGGGGGGTA